GATACCCAGATAGATGTGGTAAGTGGCCCACCTTTTTGAAAGTACCTACTAATAATTCAGAGTGCCCAACTTTGAGATACCTTAAAAGGGCTTATAGACTATTTGTTACTTATTATAAGAAAAGGTTCCAGGGACCAAACTGATTGATTATGGTAAATGTAATTAGTGACACAGTATACGTTGCCAGTCTTTGGTATGTTACAGTCCTATAGCTATTTACATGGAGTAAGCTCAAAATGACTATGTAAAGGTCCTATATTTACACCCTCTGCTGCTTCATAACAAATTAAGCAATATACCATTCTCTGCGTTCACTAACATCCTGCAAAACAGATTCTTTCAATTTCTCATTCCATTCAGAACAATTAAGTTCAGAAACTCAGGAAGCTTAAAGACATCTTGAACAGCAATGGGATTACCATGCAATTCTCTCTTTCTGAAAAGCTCCCAATCCCTAGCACTTTTTTATTTTTATTCACAGATTGGCATAAAGGCAGAAAAATCTCTATTCTTATGATTCATCATAATTAACTTTCATATCCAATTTAGACATGAATGCATATTCTATGCGTTGTCCCATTTTATTAGGACACAAGCTAATAAGGGTAAAACATACACAGCATAACTTGGACTGAATTTTCTAAAGGTGACTGTTTAGGCTCCCTTCCAGAGTTTGACATTAGGCTTTGACAGACCAAAGCACCCAAGATCATTAGCCACTCTTGAGAACTGGAGCCTATTTCTTTGTAATGACATATTTTACACTTTTGGATATTATAAAAAAAGAAAAAATAATAACTATTGATACCCACTTTGTTTGCTGAGAAGAGAGTCATTATTACTATTTTTACTCAAATATCTACTGTCGCTATAGTATACCCTTCCAAAAATGAATTTCAGAGGTGCTGAAAGATTGGCCACTATTTAATATTTTGAAATATTGTCAGATGGACTCTGAGAAATGTCTGTGTGCTCTCAGGAAGATGGCAATGGACATGATGACTGGGCCCAAGTTCATACTCCTTATATTATACAGAACTCCGCAAAAAACTGATAGCAAGCTATAGTAAAAAAATTACAAGTGTGGGTCCTACCCAACCTCCCAGAGCATAAGCCTGGCAAGTAAGAAGCAATAGATTGGAAGGAAGTCTACAAACGACAGATTTTCAAAGAGGTCTGAGTGTGGAGTGAATCAAACTGTCACAAGGACTAGAAGGTTACTAGCAGCCCTCTTCTTCTGTCTTTCCACCCACAACTCCATGGGTTTGTGGTAAAGTCAGGAAGTATGAATTGCTCCCATTGCACTCTGTTGTCCCAGTAGGTTTTCCAGCAGTGGCCAGTTGTGGCCTTCCATTTTATTTGTTGTTTTGGACTACAAAATCAAAATGCAAAGGCATTGGGGAAAAGGATCCATACAAGACTGGTTATCACTTCATTTTCTCTGACTAGACGGCCAGACAGACAACTTAATTCTGGGTTAGGTTGGCCTGGACAAATGGTTCAATGTGATATGGATCCATTGTGAGCTGTCTAAACAGAAATTGCTTTGAGAAAGCAAGCTTAATCTAAATCAGTTAAGTCTAATCCTATATCCATCCAGGTTTATCTTAAACCGGTTGCAGCCACTTTGAAAGTGGTTTATGTGCTCTGAACTTCTGTTGCGTTACAGATTTGAACCAGTTTCTGATCACTGATACCGGTTCACGTGCAATTTCTGTCCCTAGCCATTCAGTTCCAGAGATTCTGGATGAACTATGTTCTCCTCTTCCTCCAATTTAATTACTAATGGAAGTGTTTCCCTTTATATTATATTTAAATCAAAACCTACTATTTAGAGTTAAATATTCTCCGTAAATTTTAATCTCTAATTCAGCCTTTAAGGTGCCACGGTGCCTTACCCTCTGCCTGACTTCAGACTTACATGAATAACTACCTCTCTGCAATTTTCAGAATCCAAAAAAACAGCTGAGTGACCACACATGAGAACCTAAATATGACTGGCTTAGAAAGCAAAGTGGAACTGAAAGATCTAGTCTCCTTTCATTGTTCATTAAAAGAAATATAAATATATTTATATTGATTATACATAATATAACCAAGTAAATGCAATATTAAGCCTTTATTAATACAATAAATAATAATGATCTTATTAATTATTGCCATGATTAATTATAATGGGATATTAGCAATATGATTGATGTAATTAATACAGTCCCTTTGTTTTAGCACTCTAAACTGTACTAATAATAAAGGCTAGGATGTTTAACATCTTTACTTGATGGCACACTCTTAAAAAGAAAATGTCAACATCCAATCTATTTATAAAATAACACCTGAGTTTTAGATACCAACTTTCCCTTGAAGTCTGTCAATTCCTTCGGCTTTACAATCCCATTTGTTTGAATTTGTAATCAGTCTCTTCCCTTGGGTTGCAGCATTACTGCCTGATTCTGAAAAGACTTTAATACGTACATAAAACTTTTACAAGATCAGGATCTTAAAGATGCAGTGTAAATTGAACTGTCCAAAGTGGTGCACACCAAGGCCCTGTATAAATGAATCTCATGTGCCATGACTATCCAACTGACTTTGTAGAGAAGTGATTATCAACCAAGTTGCTGTGGCAATGTTAGCACTGTTAAGTGTGCAAATGTGATTCACGAGACAAATCCAGAGATTTCAAATAGGAACTCCTTCTGGTGTTAAAAGTCCTAGTGTTAAAAGTCCTCCTAAGTCCCATAGTGGTCTTTCTGAGTTCTTTGCAACAGGAGAACTGCTCTATCATTTTTCTGTAGTTATAAAACAAGTAAAAACTAAGCAGGCATTTTCTGAGGAGTGCCTCAAGTCTAACAAGGGGTGCTTTGAGTCTAAAAATGTTGAGAACCACCGATGTAGAGGAAACCGTGAAACCAACAAGGTAAAGAACAAAACAAAACTAAAAACCACACACAATATAAAGCCACTTTTTCTGTAATCTTTTCCTTTTCCAGTAATCTTAGATGTTACTTTTCACAACAGCAAATATTCCTCAAAGAAATATAATATTTTACAACGACTGGAAAATTTCAAGAAGGCCCTCTTCTAAATAGTCATATAGCTAGGTAATTAACATTTATTCTTAAATCTATTCATCTTTAAAATATAAACTGCCCACTGGAAGTCGTTTTATCTTCTTCATTAAATATTCGGCTTATGATGAGTCAAAAATAAAAAAATATGTGGTTGCAATACAGTTCACAAAACAATGTAGTGTTACTGATTATATAGATTCACTTTTTGTGTAACTGAAAGAAAACCCAATCTATCTCAAGTGATGAAGTGATAATAAGAATACTTACATAGTCATAGAATTATATAAACTGGAGAACTATATGCTTTAGAATAAGAAAGATTAAGGGCTCACTGCTCCTCTCCTGTGGTGCCTGTCTACACTTGAAAGTTAATTCAGATGAAGGTAGGGCATGAGTGTAAAGTGCAGTATTTATTCCTGAATAACTCTATGTGCTAAACAAGCCTGTATGCAATCAATAACAGCTCTAAGCTAACTTTATGGAGTTTCTTGGATGTTAAAATACTGTGAAAAGAGAATCAGGCATAAATTCCCAATCTGCTGTTCAAAGTGTGATGAATTCACCAGCCCCGGTTCTTTTCCTAATGGGTAATGTAACTCTATCCCATGTGGGCCAGCTGCAAAAGGGGGTTCTAGTTAACAAAGACCCAATGTGCAAAAGGGATTACCATCTCAGAATGATGCCACTTTTTCACACCTCTCAAGCATGAATTACCGGGACAAGCATTTCTGGGGGTGCTACAGTTACACGCCCAGATATTCTGGAGACAAACCCTGCTGTATTTGCTCAGGCAAAACCTTCACTGTCATTGACAGGAGATTTGCCTAAACAAGGACGGTAGGATTAGATCCCTGAAAAATACTTACATGTCAGCATTTTAGAAATGTAGGGTGGGGGTGGGCTGGTGTAGCACTTTACATTTGCCTTGTTTTCTGCAGTCAACCAAACTCACTTGCGTTTTCAGGGAATTTGTACAACTCTCTTCCAAAGAGAAGATTGTGGGCAATTAAAGAGAATTCAGGATTTTGAAGAAAAGGCCATATTTGGGGGGAATGCCGCTGTTGTTATTCGCATTTTCAGAATATAAAAAAGTTCCCTGCATGAGAGAGTTCACAGTCCAGATACAGGTTACAGTATTGTCCTGTTAGAGAAAGCGCTTCCCAGACTAAGAGTAGAGCAGGGTGACCGCGTGAAAGAGAGCGAGCCAGATGCAGAAGCGGGGACAGACAAGACAGAGGCAGCAGGAAGGAAGGGAGAAAAGCGCAAGAGCTTGAAATAGCAGTTTGCATCTTGCACGATAATCCATTGCGTGACACATCTTCACTCCTTGTTTATGCTGCTTCCTGAAATGGGCTAAGCCACGCATGAAAAATGATAGTCAGCTGCTCCGACAGAAGCTGGTTATTGTAGGCTCCTTCCGAACGAGGCAACCAGATTATACAACACGCTGGAAACTTTGCTAGGAAACAACTTTGACTCTTGCCAACTTGTGAAACTTCCCAAAAGGACAGCGAGGCAGAAAAATTGGGAGCCCTCTGCCCCACACCTTTTTTCCTCAGCTGAAACAAATGAAACTAGGAGAGTCGGGGAAGTAGGCAGGTGGCCAAGATATTGCTGAAGTTAGAGAATGTCCTTCCCAAATCAAGAGCCCTTATAGCATGGATTGCCTTGTCATGGGGTTTTGCCTGCAAAGGCAACAGCAACAACACACACCATAAGGGAAAGGAGCAGTAGCAACAAGTGACAAAGTGAAAATAAAAGAAAGTTACTTTGCCCTTTGCAAGAACTTGTCAGAACTGACTCTGCCTGGTCCTACCAGCCACTTCCTGCCAGACTCTGCATCACTGCTCTCCTATCGCTCACCCTTAGGGACTGTATATACATGGGTTAAGAAATAAGCATATCCCACAGAGGGGAAAAGTACATTACCTCAGCATAGGCAGCCATTACATAGGACTATACTGAAGAGGTTTTACTACAACTCACATGATTCATCTGGCCTACAACTCCCATAATTCACTTGCTTATGCTTTCCTTTTAACTCTTAGTTGCCCAGAAAATAAATAACAATTTCAGCGATCAGGATCAAGAAGGGAAGGATGATTGTAGAAGGCCTGAAATTATGATAATAAAAAGGTAAGTGGGAGAGTTTTTGTTTTTTTTTAATGGTGAACTTTTCTGTTTGATGAGAAAGTTCAACTGAAAGTGAAAGAAGAAATACAACTGATTATGGCAGGAACTGAGGCAAGTCTAGGGCCAAGGAAGGATATTCATAATACTAGTTGTCTGTCATGTGTTGGGATCTCACGATGAAGGCAGTACCACAACAACCCTGTGTAAACTGGAAATTGACTTTATTATAAGATCATACTTCCTTCAGAAATCAGTCCTGATGGGCAGCTCTAAAATACTGAGAAAGGTGAAAACATCCCAAACTCACGGATACCTTGGCCTAGATTTGATCCACATTAGTGATCTAATTTCTGCAACATCCTGGGTACTGGAGGGATAAGATATTATCATCACCATCATTGCCATTCAACAAATAATACCTAGCTCTTATGTATTGCTTTTATCTACAGACTTTGTACCCCTTTACAAAAGGAGAATGTAACATGCAGAGCAGGGGAATTGAAGTGCACATGGTCTCACATTTACTTATTGGTAAAGCTGGGAAAAGCAGTTAAGTGTCCAGACTCAACAGCAAACACTCTACTTGGGAAATTGCACTGCCTCAGTGAATCAGAAATTGTCTTCTTTCTGCTTAGCTTTTGCAGGTTCCTTGTTTTTCTCTGTCTCTTCTTTTTTCTATGCAGTGGTCACATTCATAGCTACAGTGCCTGCAGAGAGAAATAAATCGTTGTTGGCCTCGTATATAATTTAAGGGAAACAGATGGCTGTTAGTACACACCAGGGAAACAATCTGAAAGTAACAGCAGGTAGACATTACTTTGGACTCATCATTCAACTATCAAGTAATAGGCTCCTTAAATGGACTAAATTAAACATTCTATTTATCTCCAGAAAAAGCCACCTTTTTTCAATTCAGCAGTACAAAAACTTGTTTCCAAAACAATCTGTGGCTTTTGGTTGTTTTTATTGCTTAACAAAGCATTGAGTACCTTTATTTAAGGAAAAGGAGTAAAAGATATTTCCATTATACAGATTTGTGCACATCTGCACACATCATTGATTATCAAAGGAGATGTACCAAAGTAAATTGCTACCCATATGGTTAGAGCATAGATGATACCCTACATTTTTATGACGCTTTTTACAACAAATGTGTACCGAGCGACGGAAAGATCTGCTTAAAAATGATTCAACCAAATATGTAAAGATGAGAGAGCCTCAAGCTGAAACTAACTCTTAGCAATTGCCTGTAAAGATCAAAAAGGGACTTTCAGACTGGGGGAGACTTTCAAATAGAAATGACAATTATTGTTCAATTTATTGAGAGGTTATTCTGCAGTCAGGCAGAAGGCATGGTAGAGATGCCCCTGATAGACTAACTGAATCAGAAGTGCATAAGCATCTGATGAAGTGAAGTCTTGCTCATATAAGTTTATACATCTCTGATTCAGTTAGCTTATCAGGGGCATCTCTACTTGGCCTTCTGCTCAGTGTATTATTATATCTCTTACAGGTTGTTCGGGGCATGAGCCAGGCTGTGGCTATAGCCCTGGGGTTCTGATCCCCTGATGTTAATTTAGCAAGAGGGAGAGGTAGATAGACTCGTAATGGTTGCAGGAAAAACTTTTATTTTCTGATTTCTTACTTACGCCCCACGGTGTGGCTGTGGCTGCGCAGGCGGTTACACTTGTCAGCGGTCCAGGTGAGGGATGAACAACAGACAGACAGACAGAGCGCTGGATTCGAAACCGAAGACGATGAACGAGCGAGCGGTTGATGTTTGGGTGCACAATCAGGTGCCAGAGAGTCCGAAGGCAGGAGAAACCGTGAGAGGCTGGCCATGTCTGCCCACCGAGCAGCAAACGCTCTGGTCTCTCTCCTCTGGGCGGAAACTCAACCCTAGCTTTGATAGGCCAGAAGACAAACAGAATTTTAAGCCCCGATTGGCCACGTTTCCGCGCCAAAAATATCCGCGGGGATTTTCCATAGGAGATGGGGTTTCCCCAGCACATGGCCAAGGGCCATGCAGCAATTCAATTAGGGGCTTTCCGGATTGCATGGAGAGTGCTGACAGCACCTGTTGCTGGACAAAACTGGCAGAGCCCAGCCGGAGCGTGACATGCCCCCTTGCCATCAAGCACTCGACTACAACACACCGTTGTCCTCGTCTTCGATTTCAGTAGCGTTCTGGGGTAACTGGGTGTATACAAAGGCAGACAAATTCATCAGTTTCTTTTTTAACCAATTGAACAAAGCACAAAACAGACACAAACTAATGCTTATCCCAACAACAAACAATACAATCCCTATGAGTGCTTGTTTCAGCCCGCCAATACCTAGCCAATTCAGCCATGACATTCCCCAATCGTGCCAGGATTGTTCTTTGAGCTTGGACTTTTCTATTAGAAACTTTGCATCCTTGATACCTTGGATGACGTGTTCAAGGGAAAAAGAAGACAGATTGAATTTTAAGCAGCAGCATGTCTGATTCCCAAGGGCAGAACACAGCCCGCCCTCCTTCGCTACGAGGTAGTCCAAGCCGAGGCGATTATAATATACTGTGGCTTGGGTCTCCTTTATTGCCTTTTGGGTTTCCTCGAAACCAAGCTGGGTCATATTAGCCAGCTTCTCCACCGCCTCCATCAGAAGGACGATGCGGCTCATGGTGTGCATACAGCCGAGATAGGGGAAGTACACTGAAATTTTGTCTCGGTATGTCATGAGAGTCCAAGCTCTATCCTCATCAGGATTCGACATAAAGGAACGCGTAACTCGGGAGGAACGAGTGTAATTGCTCAAAGTGAAATCAGGGTTCCATATGTAGGCTGAAACTAAGGTATAAGACGTGTTTGTTTCCTGAGGTGGCGAACGCGATACAGTGGATTGATTTAAATTTAACCAAAGCCAGCCGGGTGGCAACAAAGATGTCGCTTCTGACTTGGGAGCCTCAGGACATACCAAGGGAGAAGTTGTTAGACCTCCAAAATTTATCCCGTACCCACGGACAAGGTCGTGCACAGAGAGGGTTAGATCTATGTTAGCCGCTGGCTTATAACCCGTCTGAGAGAGGCAAGCACGATTACATGTAGTTAAACTTGCCCCACGACAGCAGATGGAGTTAATTCTTAAAATGGGTTTAACAGCACTCGTAGAAATCCCGTGTGTAGTAGCAGATCGGTCCCGCGTCTGATTACAAAATACCCTTAGGCCCCATAGGGCCGACAGCAGGGCTCTAGTTCCCAATGGATAAGCATGGTGGAAGATAGGATTAGGGTCCTGTGCCCTCTTCCCCTTCCCTTCCCGCACCAAGGACTGAACTGCCGTGATAAGGTCCCCAAGTGAATCGCTATTATTCAGGGTTTTTAGGTCAAAATTAAAGGCCGTTAGCATGGCACTTAAACTAGTATAGCAAGTTATATGATTGGGCGGGGCCAGCTGTGGAGAACCTGCCCAGATGTATGGCCAGTCTCGCTTGGCATCCGCAGAAGACAGGGTCGTTATTACCCACGGTTGTTCCATGATGCTCGGTCTCGGGACGGCACAAGTGCTGCGATCAAAAAGACATTCACAGTTCTGCACAGAACAGTTGGGATGAGCGACCGTAAGCATCAAGTGCAACCCGTTACTGCCAACAGGTTCTGGAAAACACAGCAGGTATTTGGTACCATTGACCCTGGTATCATCACCCTCTTGCTCGAGACATTCAGCAGCCAGTAGGCTCGTCAAGTCCAGGAAGGTGTTTCCGGTCGTTGGAATCGATGGGGATCGCTCGTCAGTTGATATGAAAGAAGTGAGGCTGCACATGATTAGCAGATTAACTGGAAACATCATCGTATGGGCAAACACCTATAAAAACAAGCAAAAACCATTAACATAGAAGATTCAAATAACAAACAGTGATTAGGTAGGTCTTGATCGTCTGGCCAGCCAGTTGTGATGGGCCAGGTAAGTCTTCATGTTGGCTCGGACGTAGTACGTGTTTGGGTACTGTCCAGCGCGACACACCATCGCCTCGAGTGGATCCGGGCAAGTTACTCTTTCTGTAGGCAAGGTAAGCCACACGGGCTCGTCAGGGGCGAATTTCAGCGTCCACTGCGGTCGAGGAGTGGGCGCGCATTCCTTCCATAGATCTTTGTCGGCATTCATATTGAGGAGGCATAATTTAAGATGTCATTCCCACCCTTTAAATTTTCCATCGTTGGCCAGCCGTAGTTTTTCCTTCAGGAGGCCAATTGTGCGTTCGACAACCCTGTTGGACTGGGGGTGGTAGGGTAGGTGTCAATCGATGTTGTGTTCACCTGCAAATGCTTGAAGTTTCTCGCTGCCAAATGGCGGACCTCCGTCGCTCTGAATGCTTGTAGGCAGCTGCCAGTAAGAACCTACTGCAAGTAGAGCGCTGATAATGTCTGTCACCTGGGTGCGAGTGAGCGGTTGACAGGCTACTTGGCGTGTGCCGAGATCTACAATAACAAGACCTTTCAGATGACTTTTTGCCCCGGGGAGGGGTCCCATCAAATCCAGTTGCCATGTCTTTCCTGGGGCAAAGAAGGTAGGATTGAATGCCCCCTTCTCGTGGCAGACTGGGTGAGCCTTCTCTTTCGCACAAATGTGGCATTGTCATGCAGCGTCCTCCCAATGTCGCTTCCTGATGGCATCTGGGTCTCCCTTCTCTCGATACCAATGCTCATGAGCTCTCTTCGGTCCTGGGTGTCCCCAGTGCTCATGTAGCCAGTGTGTGAATGGTGACACCTGAAGTGTGGTTTCAACGCAGTACGCTTCACATGAGGGCTCCGCAAGTATCCAGTCGATCTTTGCATGCACAGGATCGGTGTCTGATCGGTGGGACCGGGTGT